GGTACGTGGTGGTGGTGAGAGGAAGGGGGAGGGTACGTGGTGGTGGTGAGAGGAAGGGGGAGGGTACGTGGTGGTGGTGAGAGGAAGGGAAGGGTACGTGGTGGTGGTGAGAGGAAGGGGTGTGTTAAGTGGTTGTCATTGTAGTTCTTTTTCTTTTTATTTCTTCTCGTTTGTTGGTATCAGTCTAGAGAGCGACCGAGGTGTGTTAGTACTGGCTGACGGTTGAGCTGCTGTTGTCACGTTAAGTTACAGTAGACTACAGTAGCTGGCTGAAGGTTACATGTGCCTCATTTCGTTACGACATGAAGGATCCTTTTGATATATTACCATGTTTTGTTGTGTGAGCTGCTCCCTGCTGGAGGTTTCTGGCACACTCACCAGGGGGGGGGGGGGTTATAGCTCTCTCAGTGTTACGGGCAAACTTAACCACTTACTGTTCGTATTGGTATAAATCTCATGAAACGAAAGATTTTATCATCCTATTTAAACTGCCTAATAAATTTGAGTTGTTATAATACTTAAATTGTTATGTAGTTTTAGAAATAGGATACTCATTTCCAAAGAAACTGGTGATGACGTCACTTACTTTCATACTTACGTCATGGTGAACTAGCCAATGAGCTCCATCAGTCCTACAGTGGACACGCCCCCTGGGTGTTGTTGCTGGTTTTTTGCACAGTAGCAAAAACAAGATGTTACGGAGATTTTTTTTCCCAAGTAAGATTTTAAAATGTTGCTGCGAAAGTCGTATGATTAATCTCCAGCGTCTTGTCAGGGAGGAGGAGGGGCGAGGAGAGACACAGAGAGGGGAAGGGGGGTGACGGGTATCAAAAGTGGGAGGTGTGGAGGGTGACAAGCAGAGGGGGGGGAATGATATCCGGAGAATAAGACCCAAACCAATTTCGACCAACCATTTTTTTAACTCATTTGCGACCTGTTCTAAGATTGGCTGAGAGGAACGATAAAAATACTGGAAAGCTATAAGAAAAATGCGACACTTTGACCAGATAACTAAGTATGAGGCGATAATGGTAGAATATTTAAATGGGTTAAAATTGGTGGTAGGAGAGCCAGGGTGAAGGTAGAGGCTGGGATGAGCAAGAGAGACTGAGGGAAGGAGGTATAGGTAGGAAAGGAGAGAGAGAAACAGGGAGGAACCAGTTAACAGTGGACATCCATCGTGCAGGCTGTGTCAGGTAGTTGGCCAGACTCACCCTCCCACCAACACAATCATCACTTCACATACTGTAAAATATGCGTGTACGTCGTCAGGGTCTTTGTGTCTTTGTCTGAGCCAATAAGTAAACTTATTTGTTGAATTTACAAAACATCTATCTATCTATCTATCTATCTATCTATCTATCTATCTATTTATCTATCTATCTATCTATCTATCTATCTGTCTATCTATCTGTTTGACGTGCCCCCGCCAGTGTTCTGTGTATTAATAAAATTGAACCAAAACTGAATAATGCTGTGAGTTGACCACCATGTTGCAGGAGCTGGTAACCCTTGTCAACACCTGTGAGTCTCCACCTTCCCAAACAACCACCGGAGACTCTTACCTACAATGATGATAACTTCTGTGTCAAGATTTTATGTTCATTATATTCTCTACAATATAAATTCTACGTGATATACCATTGGACTTGATGAATTTGGTAGAGGCATCAGAACGATTTGATGAGATGGATTGGGCTTTGTTTACATGGGGTAGTTGGAGTTTCAGCATGGCACATCTTCTCCAGGGCTGAAGTAGAGGTTTCGTCAGGTCGTAAGTTCAGTCATGTCCTTGGCCTTTTTCTTCATTTCTTCAATTCATAAAAAGATGAATTTTGCTCTTACTTACTTTCGTTTTAACCCCTTGAGTACAATGCTAATATTTTGAGTACAAGGCTATTCCCATGGGTACATTTGATTAGTCTGTTGAGTAAGATACCTTAAAACCTTGAGTGCGATGATTTAACTCCTTGCATACAATGACGATAACCCTTAAAGTGCATGGTCTTAAAACCCGCGTTCCCTCTAATACTCTGGGGCCCACGTCATCGTACTCAAGGGGTTAAAACTATTTTACTCTGGTGTAACTCGTCGTAGTCCAGGTATGTTAATGAGTTCATCGTCTCCAGGTGTAATCGATGGTAGGGGCTCCGGGTGATCACCACTACTGGGGCAGGTCTTCCTCATACAGAAAAGTAAAAGAAATCTTCAAGAGTTGGTAAAAAGTTTCCTTAGTCGGCCACCTGACGAATAATCAGATCTTCTCATCTGTTAGAGCCGGTCACAAGAGGGCTTTAGGCTATGTCCTCCTGCCGGAATTCACCAAGTAAAAGATAATATCATTTGGAAGATTTTCTGAGCGTGGTTTATTCACATCTGGTCAAAGTTGGTGACTGCGTACGTACAGAGCTTATCACCACAAAGTTGTCTTAAGGAAATAAAGAAATTTACCAGACTGCTTGCTAGCTAAGTGCAATTTTTGTTTCTTCTTCAGGACTTGCCAAGTATGTGTGTGTGTGTGTGTGTGTTTTCTGCACTGAATTTGCACTGAAAGCTTTTGTTCAACAACCCACTGCCCAATTTTACTTCATACTTTATACAATTATGTGTATTGCATGATTTCATCTTTAGTGTACTGTATACAAACTGTAAGGTTTATTATTATTATTATTATTATTATTATTATTACCTCACGTCACATTATGTTCATA